GGGGCTCGGTCAAGTTGGCGACGCTCTGACGCCGACTGGCCGTCCACCACAATCGGCATTAATTTAGCGGAAGTAATGCGAGAAATTGTTGAAATCCCAACTGCTCCATACACAGAAAAAATATTGCTCATTGTCCTTCGCATTGAGCCGAGACTAATTGGGACTTGGCCTATACGTTTGAGCATCTCACATTGGCAGCATTCCGACAAAGACCTTAAATATATTAGCCAAAGGGTTTTCCAAATGTGCTCCTTTATTTGTATATTTACTTTTATCTATTTTCTTGCTTGGTTAATTTTAATGAACAAGACATTTAGTTTTATATGTATTTTTTTTCTGGCCGCTTCTTTAATTAAATGAACTTGCCCTTTCTGGTTTTAATAGCCATATTAGTTTTTATCGCTCAATGTTGGACTTAATGCAGCCCGGAGGAGCCACATGGTGCACTTGGGTGGGGTTTGGGGCGTGCCAGGCTTTGCTAATTGCCTTTTTGTGCCTATCAAATAATCTGTTGGCGTTTATCAACGAATGCCACATGGCCAGCTTATTTCATTGTATTATGTTAATGTCATTCTAACGTGAGCTATATAAATATATCTAGCATATGATTTATAGGCTATATTTACAATATAGCTAATGGGCGCATTTGTTATGGCTGTTTTGTGTTAATCTTTTGTATGGTCAATATTTAAAAATAATTGGTTAAGCAGTTTAATAGTGTATGTTAAAGGTATATAGTAAGTATTATAAACAAGCCTGAAAAAACATCTACAATTCGGTTATAGATTTTCTATATATTCGAGAGCTAATAGAATATGCTCCCATCATTTTCTATAAGAAAAGCCTCTTTTGTTATTTCGACACTTTACTCTAAAGTAATAGCTGTGCCTTTTCTTGTCAGTCGTAAAGTTTTCCGGGTTCTGTCGCCCGCATTCGTTACACACAATTCGCCAGCCTGCAATGAATTTTGTAAGCGTTGTCTCGGCTCATATAATCAGAGAAGCCCAAAGAAGCACCACTCAAGCTTTCAACATGAATTCGACACATATTTAAAAACTCATTCACACGTCCTGCCAACTTATTTAACAGCTCAACTCACAGTTCCACAGCAGGCAGTAGAGCAGTTGTATAGATCTTGTGCGATGTACTTAAATTACTTGAGGACGAATGCTGCTCAGCTTGAATGCAATTTAAGTACGTACTTCAAAAGCAAATGTTTTATAGAGCACCCATCTCATAGATACACGCCCACACCCACACCCACACTAACACACGCACAGAAACACATACAGTATCTAACTGTAGAGCACTTTTTGCCCAAAAAAGACACTTTGCACGGAAGCCGACATTCTCGTCCTTGTCTTCGTCCTGTTGGCACTCAGCGTTGCCTCAGTTTAGTATTTCTCTTTTAGTTTTGGGTTTTACTTGTTGTACTTGCTGCTTTTTCTGTAGTGGTATTGTATTTTATTATTTAAAAGCCTAAAATCTATGAAGTTCGGTGCAAATATTTGAAATTGTTAGGGAAACATTTGCAACTGACTCACTGACTACTGCATTTGACAAGAATATTTAATTTAACTGGCGAAGCACAAGACGAGCCCCTCACATGCTGAGAATTTTGCCAAGTGAAGCTGCTACGATTGCTGTTACTCTACAGCTTATGGGGCATAGCGACTTTGTGATGCAGGTTGCAAATTGGGTATTGAAAGAGTTTTAGAGTACGGCTTCATACATAAGCTATGATTAGAAAACTTAAATATAGATATATTAAATAGTATAAAAATTATGTCAGAGCTAAAACATAGTAAAATTTGGAGATTACAATATCTTGAAGGAATGCATGTATCAGGTGTATATTCTAGATATATGGAAATTGAAATTGTAGGTGGTGTATTTATACACATGATTTTAGTATTTATATTTGAAGAAATAGAAGATATTTATGGTTAATTTATAGGAACATATTTATTCAACATTCGCCAGTTGTTTCATTCCTGGCGAGAGTACAATAGAAGTCGATTTTCTTGTAGTTATTTTGGTTCGTTTTTGTTTTTCGCTATTTACTATTTCGTCAAAGGTATTTCAGCTGAGTGCTGATGCTTCCGTTTCCGGTTTCGTGTTTACATTTGTGTTAAATGCAAAGCTGCAACTCGTAGGTTGCAGTTCTTTTCGAACCAAGATAGCTACGTGCACAGCTTGGGGCCAATGCGATGTGAGTCTCCAATTTGAACAGAAAGTAATGCGAGAGTGAAGTCAAATGCGGGAGCTCACGCAAGCCTGCCCAGCTCTATTTATCTTTAATATTTAAAATGCTCTATTTACCGTAAATATTTTCATGGTAATTTACGCAAATTTACATAAATAAGCGCTGTGATACACCTCACCCCCTCCAAAAAAAAAAAAACACACACACACCACACTGAATGCACATGCCTAACTGTTTTGGTTCGACGTAGCCTCATTTGAAAAATGTCAAACGCAGTCCACCCATTAAATTGTGGGTGGACGCAACGTTCAACGAACCAGGACACAGGACACAGGACCTGGGCGAGCAGCACAGTGAGGACTCAGGCGCACCATCGTTTGTTTGGCCTAATAGCTTTTCTATAATTTATCATGGAATATTTATGGCACGCGCTTTTGTATCTAGGAATTATGCATTTATTATTCAAAATGCTTTTTATGCCACCAAACAAACGACTCCTGTGCCTCCTGCAATTGCTATCTGACAGGGTAGCCGCACCCGTAAACGTTGTCAGCGTTTAGTTTAGTTTGTTGAAAAATTGTCATATTTACAATGTGGGCACAGAACTCGTTCTGCCTCTACCCTTCTTTCATGTCCTGGCCAAGTTAATTGGCAAATTTAAATTGAATACATTTTTAATGATAGTGCAATGGACTTTGCCCAACTATTTTAGTTAGCAGCTGCAGCTAGTTATGTGTGTGTGTATGCATGTCTGCATAGATGTATGTATGTCCATATGTCATCATTACGAGTAAATGGCTGATGTTGTTGTTCCTGTTGTTGTTGGTGGTTGGCTTATTTATGTTGTTGTGCGAGAGTATTAAGCCGTTTAATGATATGGCCACGATTTATATGGCTCAAGCGTAATTGGCATCTAAAATGACTGAAACTTAAATTGAATTTGTTGCTGGTTGTTTGAACAGATATAGGTTAAGCACATGCTTTGGTATTAGATTCAACGAGTCATATCTTTTAAATTCGAATTTTAAATTCTTACATCATTTCAAGGTATAGTTTCTAGAGAACAGTCTGAGTCCTTTTTGGTTTTACAATCCAATAGTTTCTTGTGAACTGCAGCAGAAGTTTCTCTTCTTCATATAAGTAGCTTTCACCTGATAACAGGCAGCTGCCGTCATTCAACCGATTTCCCGTATCCATTTTAATTGCATGGCTTTTAACTTTCGTTTCACTCCGAACTAAGTAACCTCAACAAGCAACTCTACTTTAACTTTCCCCACGACAAACTTTAGAATAGCGTACACCCGACTCGATAGTTCGCCGGTAGCGCTGTGGTAGTCCAATGCCATAAATGTCAATAGACCAAAAACCATTATGCATAATATTGCAAGCGGCACTGCAGCCAAATGCAACTTCCACTTCAGCTCCTTCAGTGGCCGCGTTGCGAGCCTCACCCGCCATCTCTTGCCGCATGCTAAACAATATTTCTCCATTACAAAACAATGGACCGAGTGCATAACGCAACTGCTTCGACTCCTGCTCCTAGACATGCCGCTCCTTCTGCTCCTTTGAGGACAAGTAACACCTTTTACTTGTGGCGTTCGGTGTCAGTGAAAACTTTTGCTTTTTCTACTTGGCTTTTTATGTTAGCGCGTTGCAGTGTAGCGTGTGCCAGCCACGCCCTGCTCATACCTTGCTGCCCTAATATCTGCAGTTGTCGCCGCAACTTTTCGTTGCCTACTTCTGTGCTGTGGCAAGTTTGCGCTTGCTTATTGTCCAGCGCAGAAAACTTTGGCCGTTTGCTGCTAAATTGAAAGCGACTTGCTGCGCAGTGTCCTTGTCATCGCCCTGCGATCAGTTGTCCTTGGCGGTGCAAATTGTAAGACAAATAAACAGACGCAATCGCCTTGTGTAAGATATGTTTGAGTAAAGAACTTCCAAGGTAATGCCCCAAATAACGAAATACAATATACGGAAGAAAAATGTAGAAGCTTTGAGAATAAATTGGGAACGAGGGTTACTGGTAACATTTTGGCTAAAATCTGGAAAATTTAGCTGAATCGGCAACATTGTGAAGGAGTTAACCGCCTTAATTGTTTGTAAGACTGCCATCATGCAGACATTCGACACTATCTCAGAAGACCTTCTAAGGTTCCGGAAGAGTCACCCCAAGTTTTTCCAAAAATTAAAGTCTGCTGAGGCTAACAATACATTACCGACCGAATATTTATTATGTAATTCAAATAACTTGAGTCCATTTATATCCAAAAGCCGCACAAAATCTAGGATTTGAGTACCACAAAGAGTTCATGCCTTGAACAGCAAAATTTTAAATTTAGCAATTTGGGGGAAAGACGTTCAAAATTAATTTTCTTTATGATTGAAATGAAAATTAAAAATTATTAAGTTCAATTTTCGCGTTGCACTTGCTTATAGACTTATTAAAAATACATAATTTAATAATTTGCAAATTTATCGATAAAAATTAAGGCATTTCAATATTTTCCTTGGCGATTTTCTTATTTGATTTGGTTTAATTCTTACACTTTCCGTTCCATATAAATTTCAGCAGCTTCGTAGTTATTTATTCACTGTTTTTTTGATTTTGTATAAAACATTAATTTTTAAATAGCTCGATGCCGCGCCAAGATTTTGATTTCGTTTTCATTCACAATATATCTCATTTTGTTTTTGGCAAGTCACAAAAGTAAACAAACTCATAATTTAAATTAATCAATACTTAAAACGTGTAAGAAATTGTTAGTTAACGTAAATGAAAAATGTTGTACCCATGCTTTTAATGCTTTGGATGTTTGCCACGAAAAAATCCCTCGATGGCTTCGCGCGACAGCTCCAGTTTTTCGCGAACAGTTTTATAATACTGAACGCCCTTTAACTGATCCATAAATTGTCGCAAATAGCTCAGATATTGGATTTTTCCCTTGGGCTTGGCTTCATTGGGACACCAGCAAAGCAGCACCAATTTCTCTCGTTTTATTTCCTGTTTGGTTACCAAACACACATGGGTGTATTCCAGATCGAACACTCCATAGCGACATTCTATGGGTCCATTGCGAGTGAGATCCTCTAGGAACTGGTTATAGTCGTTGTCCCGCGGACCGACGGTCTCCACATCGACAACGGCATCGGAAACGAGGCGAAAGATAATATAACGATACTCTTTGCTTTTGCGTATGGCCTCGTAGATCTCAAAGCATTTTGGGCTGCAACTGACGACGCTCATTGTTTGCGTTAACTTATCAAAATCTGAAACCTTATATAAATTTAATTTTTCTGCTAAGTACTTCTCTGAAGTGCTATTAGAAATAACTATTTCAGCATAGCTCACTGAGTTTTGTGTTGGAAAAACAAACCTCATTTGAAAGCAAAGTCAACAACAAACGCAAAAAGTGCCGACAATTGGAAAAGTTTCCGTCGTCGCATCCATTTGAATTGCACACTCCTTAGAAAACTCACACATCAACTGGCATATACACACATATTTACATATATTAAATACGTAAATGCATATCTTTAGTTGGCACAGTTTTCTTAACTGTCTTCTTTTTGCAATTCCATTCACTTTTTTCGAGTGCAAACCAAGGCCTACGGCGCCAGTTCAACATTTTTTCCTTGTAAAAGTTTATTTGACTTGCAAAGTTTGTTGGGGCAAGAGCAAAGAAAAAGATGCTTCATGATAATTGAACTGAGCTCGTTTATTTATGGGAGCCATAAAAATACTACTGATTAGAGATGCAAAAAAATATCGAAACGTTGATTTACTATAACCGATTTTACATCGACTATTCTATTTTCGGTGTTTCGATATATATATATATATATTTATATATATTCACACATCCAAAGAGACAAAGCTGACATAAGTTGCAACAAATAACACAGCAGCCAAGTTTATTGTTATTGATGGAAAGGCACTCTTAAAACCATATTAATTTATTAAGTTTAGCTAAAGTAATAAGAATAAGTTTAAATAAGCCTCGAAAATGAAAATTTTGCATTTTACTAATTTTAAGGAAAGCTCGATTTATTAATGTCGAATATTCCAATAGATTGATTAATCAATTTGTTTTACAATGTTAAGAATCAATGTTTTGTTTCCGGATCGATAAGTTGTAAAAGTTATCGAGAAAGACAGTATACTTAGTTTTGTTTAATAATTACCGACGAAAATGAGAGAGGAAGAGAAACAAAGAGAGAGTGAGCGACAAAAAGAGCTAGATTGAGGATTGAGACTATAAAAATTGCATATATATATATATATATATGATGCATATCAAAGAACTCTGCATGTATAAATATCTTTTTGCGTAATGAGAATGCTGTGAGAGATTTACTGCGAGATTTATTGCACTTGATATAACTAGGCAGGCCATTGTGCTTTGAAATAAGACCACTTTTATACCAAATTCCTTTTCCCACTCTCTCTGGTTTGCATCCACACCCTGGCTCAAATAAGAGGATTAATCACTTTACGCTTTAAAACGTTAATCATTTCGGGGAATGCGCAGCTTTTGAGCTTTTCAACGCTTTTAATTCAATTATGCTGCGCTTTTGCCAAGCATCCTGGCAATAGGCAATTACCAGTAATCGAATTTTGCCACGACGAATCCGTTTGAAACAATAAATTGTTCTCTTGCAAGCTCGAGGGTAAGAGGTTTATACCCGAAGGGGCAGGAAACAAATGCCAGCAGGGGTCGAGACAATTCCAACAATTACCCAAAATGCAAATGCAAATTGCGCGTGTCGCTGTCTCCAACTGCTCCTCCTCATTTGCCACCCCTGTGGCGGGTCGGCGTTTTTGGGGACATAAAACTTAGCCCCGGCTTAAGCTCTTAAGCTGAACTTTCACTTAACCGCAGCAAAGCGTTAAAAGCATTCCATATTAATGTCTAATTAAATGCAGCGTGTTCCCGCCCAGACAAACGAGCGGCCATATTTGCTGAGGCTCGAAAATAAAATTGCAGGACAGCTTCATTTGCATTTTAGATCTGGACATCCTGGGTTGTGCGTCCCAAAATGACAATCGGATGTATTTCATTGAGGTGCGTTCAGCGGACAACTCGCTTCCTGCTGGATCCAGCTGGCTACGGCTCTGGCTTCCAGATCTGGCCAGCTGCCAGATGCCGCCCTCTTTTATTCCTCTCATACATTTTGCAACGTTTTGGGAAAACAATTCGTGAGTGCAGCTGCCAACCATTGCTCAGCTGTTGCATTTGTTAAATAAAATATCAGTTGTCATTAAAGGTGCTCCTTGCTGCCTGATTCTGAACCTGCTTCTGCTTCCGATGCAACTCCAGCATCCTCTGGTCTGCATACAAGAGCTGCGTTCATTTGTCACTCGACTGCGCTTGACAATTAAAAATTGCAATCAGCTGAGAACGAGACAGCTGCCAGAAGCCTCAAGTATAACATCATGTTAAGTCTACGTTGATGACGTTGCGCTGCCTTTTTCGACACATTTTCTTGGCTCTGACCACTGCGCTTGATTTCCCAAGCAAATTAATCGCTGCAAAGTTGACAGACAAAAAGTTTGCACTTGGTATTCAATGCATTTGCGTCCAATTTATGCAGCAGACTAAACAAAGCTTCCCAGAGCTGGGTGTGGGAGCAGCTGCAAAAGCAGACTGCAATGCACATGAAAGACTGACTGTCAAAGATCTATTATTGTTCAGGCAAAAAATAACAAGAGCAGCTAATTGCGACACGCTTAAATAATCTTGCTTATGTGTAAATGACGGCTATTTTTATTTGTTTTTTTATATTGGCTTTATAATGGAAAGCTGTTAATATACTTGCAGCACTCGCGAGATTTCTGTGGGTAGGACAGATAGAGAGATAAACATGGCTATATCGATTTTTAATAGTGATCAATAATATATACAGCTTATTGGGTTAAAGGGCCGCCTTTAAAGTGTTATATATTATATTAAAAGGCTTTAGAAATAAGACATTGTTATATTAAATATTATTTGACAATACTAAATTAATTGATCTGTATTATTTACTTTTTTCGATTTCAGCTCATTTCACTGGAACCTGTTAAACACTTGGATATGTTTACCGTACTCCCCAAGAGTATTCGGCTTTAATTTGCGATCTATTATTGTGTGGCTACACGTGTCTCTATTCACACGTGCCCATGCATGCACACACACATACACACACACACACATGAATACACGGCGCCCACAAAGCCCACAATGAACTGTTAACGGGGCGTATGCGTGTTAACATATTTGATTTGTATATTTCAAAAGGCAATGTCGCTGTGTATGGGCACAAACCATCCACCCCTACCCAAGGCTATTTGATGGGTTTATTATTGAGTAAATAAATTAAAATTGTTTACCTTTCACCGTATCTAGATATATTCACTGCGTGCAAAAGAGACAGAATGAGTTTCTCTGTGTGCTTCTGTCCCGATTCAATTGCGGTTTCGTGAGTGCGCGTATGTTGTGGCAACTTTATTTGCGCAAATTAATGGATAAATGTTGGCACACACACACAACGTATGAACATATATAATGTATACGCACATACATGAGCATATAGCATCTGTAGATATAACAAAAACAACAATAAGAGAAACAGAATAGAATATGCGATATAATGTGAAAAGCAATATGATGACATACATGAAAATAAACAAAAGTATGCGCAATATATATTTTGCATATAACAGCAGGCAATTGAATGAAAATGTTTTTCTCTGAATCTATATTTTAAGGGGGATGCACGAAAACAAGACCTGGGGTACTCGCACGCAATGGAACATTGCCCGGAAACCAAAAAAGGCAGAACATGTAACTAAAACACAAATTGTCTAAAAATAAACAGCTTCATTTGAAATAGATACATTGCTGTAGCCACTGAATATATGTAAGTAACAAGCAGGAATGAGTCTATGAAATGCCTTTGCTAAGCAAGAATAATTTAATTTTGACAATTTTTGCAGATCTTCGATGTGCTGCTTTTTTAACCCTACTATAATTATGTGCTGAACTAATTAATATACATGTATATCAATTGCGGATTCTCTCCATATCCAGCCCCGATTACATTTTCATTTTTATAGTAATTTCAATCATTCACAAACCGTTTTGGACTAATACCCGGAACTGAACGAAAAGTGATGATATGCTGTGGAGGTATTCTGGCGCCAGCCAACCACACGGATGATTGATTAGCAATTAAATATTTATCTAGGAAATAGGTTGGACTAGTTCTTGGTTCGAAAAAAACATGACAATTAAACCAACAATCAACTACCTTAAAAGTCGATACAATGAAAGGCTATGTAACCATATCCATCAGTGGGTCAGCTTTTTGAGGAACAGCTGCGAAGACTGCGAATAAGCGCCTGTTATACGATTTAAGTATCCTCTTTGGTTGTTGTGTTCAACTCATTTTTGGTCAACAATGTTTTAATAAATCCAAAAGAATACATAAAAATCTATATTACTTTGAGTTGTTGAGTTATTGATCAGTCGGAAATGACTAGATCATCAAGATCAATTCGACAAAATGGCTATGCACATATATGTATATACCCTATTACACATTCGCAATGATGCAATGTCTATTTTCTGTCACCTGGAATTTCTATACTCAATGATGCCGATTGAAGTACATTTTCTAAATACTCAACTGTCAAAACTGGCGCATTTAGAAACAACGTTAGTTCTCGTGAAGAGCACAACAAAGTAATATCGAAAGGCCCCCGGAGCGGTCAACAGTAGGGAGCCAAAACATTCACACAGTGTCAGTCGGTCGGGAAAGAAATAAACCAACAGCAACCGAATGAAATATACGCACGGTTGACATACGATGGGGCGCAGGTTGTGCTCGAATGGGAAATGGAAAATAGGTGTTGCACGCAGCTATGCGTTGCAGGATCGCGTTGATTGTTCAATTCAAACATTTTGGCATGTTAGGGTCCGTTTTCATTTTTGCGAGTGCGGGGTGAAAACGTCTGCCAGTTCTAGGATACTGAAAATGCGTTAAATCCGCTATAAAAGCGGTTAACCGACTAAACTGCACATGCCAAATGCGGTTCACGTTGGTTTGGTTTGGTTTGGTTTTGCTGGGTTCGGTTTGGCTTTGATGCCAGCTGGCTAAGTGCTGACGGGTTATTTTGACTGCACTGTGGATTTTTGTGGACAAAGCAGGCTTAGGCCTGAAAAAAGCTGCAAAATTACTAGAAATCAAAAAAATATTTCTCACAGGCGAAAACCTTTCGAATGTAAATTATAAAACACATTGCAATAAGCCACAATGTCTGACGGGCAACAACAAGACGCAATGGCTAACGACGAGTCCTTCTCATACTCGCCGGAAGTTGTGGAGGTTCGCAGAGAATTGGTATTTATCTGAGCTACATTTAAATAAATTCATTGCAGAGCTACACCGAAAAAGAGACAGATGAGGCAATGCAGTTTATTAAAGAAAACGATCTGCCCATGTCAGATCTTCATTATGCTCTCAAATATATACGCATATCGAATCGCGCTGTTGAACTGGATGACGAGTTCAAGGAAATACAAAACCGTCTCAAGAAACTGCGCGAAGCGGACCAGGCTGTTGTCAGCCCACCGAAATGCTGTCAAAGGGATATTAATTTATTGAACAAGGCTAAAAAATGATTTGTTTCAATTCTTCAAACTGACCCAGTTATGTATTTCAGCACGCAAGGCTTAAAAATCAAAATAAATATTAAAAAAAAATCGGCAAAACTTTGTCATTTGATTATTCGGAATCAATCTAATACTTCTTTTCTTTTTAAAGACAGTTTTCTACTTAATACTTTTCTGATTGCCTCATTATGGCGTGGGTATTTCAAAACCTAAGTGCTCTCCAATTTTTCAATATTCAGACAAGTTCTTAAACTTTTTCTGGTTTTAGACTGTCACGAGTCAAATAGATAAAATTTGATGCTAGATATAAAAAAAGCACAACAAAGTTAAGAACTGTTGGAACGAGCATGGTGGATTGCCTAAGAGGGGCTGAGGGGTTAGACGCCGGCAACAGAGAATTGCATGCAAAGCGAGGAGACAAAACAGCAGAAAAGCAAACAAAATTATGTTTAAGGTTATATGCTATGCATAAGTAAATAAGCAGACAGCGCTGACGGATCAGACGGACACGAGGGCAGCCAGGCAAGCGGAAACGGAAGCTCAAGTAGCAAAAGAAAGTGTCTAACTGGCTCTGTGTGCATGTGTGTTATACAAAATGTGTGTGCTTATGTATGTGTGTGAGTGACTTATGCAAGAGCCAGAGGCACTTCCGACAATTGGCAAAACACAACAGAAAGGCAACCAAGCAACCCAGCCAGGAGCGGATTACCAAGGTACAGAAAACGTTATTCGAAAATAAAATTAATTTAATTAAATATTAAATAATAATAAAATAATATTATTAAATATTTTAATACATAAAAAAAAATACTATAGAAATAAGATCCGAATTGTTGAAGTTGAAATTGAAATGATTTAAAATTGACAAATACCTAAACTTTTTTATTTCTATTTTTTACTTATTATTATTTATTTTTTTAGTTGAATTTCTTCATCTAAAAATAAATAGTCAAAAATAAATTCAAATACTTGTTGAGGCTTTTTGGGAGCTTCGCAGAATAATCTAATTTGATATTTGCTTAAAGAGTTTTGTGTTTTTATACTCTTATATACTCTCGCTAAGTTTTTGGGGCCTTAGGTTATATAAATCAGAGCGCTCCTGATCAGGGGTAGTCAGGCGAACGGGCAGGCGCGCAGGCAGGCAGCCACAGGCAAGGATGCTTTGCACACGCGCCGAGCGAGATAAAACATTTGTATGCGCTGATAAGAACGCATCCACTTACTTTTGGTCGTACATGACCTGAATTTTTGTGCATTACACAGACACAGACAGACACACACACAGACATCAGAAAATAGAAAAAATATATTGGACTTGGCGCTTGAACTTGCACACAAATGAAGAAATTTAAATTTGATGCCAATGAGAAGCGATGAGGTCTTCAGCTATCAGACAAAGACGCCCACTTAATCACGTTTTATAGGGTGGGGCACTCTCGCAGGTATTTTGTGCCAGGTGAGAAAGTAGATATACAATTAGACACAGCAGAATTTTCAATATGTGCATAAGCTATCAGAGTCTATTTCTTATATAAAGCATTGCATATGCTGCATATAGAATATATTTATCAATTCATATATATATATATATATATATATATATATATATATAATATATATAATATGTAATATATTTTTGCTGACATACAAATTGAATATATTATATTAATATTAACTTGTAACTACTTTCTACAGTTGAGATTGCGAAATCGAGTCCGGGTGGCCATATTGGTCTGACTGTCTGTCTGAGGGTAGTAGTCACAAAAAAAAAAAAAAGAAATCTAGTTTTTCATTCTAAAGTTCCAGTTGAGTTACATGAAATTTGAACGGAAATACGAAAATGAAAGATTCGTATCTGCAAAGTTAGAGCGAGATTGATGTGTGCACAGCAGCAACAGCAGCTGGCTGTGGTGCCCCCTTCCCACAGCCACAGACGCAATGTCTCTGCAGAACCACCAACTTCTCACCCCCTCCCACCACACACACGCAACCACACACATAACGCACATGACTCTTGCGAAGAACGAGCGCCAAAAAAATATCGAGCCGCCCGCAGCACTCAAATGTGGTACGTTCTGCCTGATTCTGCTCCCGTCCTCACAAATTTTCTCTCTTTCTGCTCTGTGCGTAGTTCTGTCTCTGTGTGAGTGCACCCCTTATACGAAAATAGGATTTGCTTGCAAATTTTTGCCCGGCTGTGAAATGGGGCAACCATTTGCGGGTGCGGGTGCGGGTGCGGATGCGGATGCGGCTGCGAATGCTTTGCGCTCGTTTTGTTTGTTTGACACTTGCGTGGTTAGTGATTGTCCATATTATGTGACACACTGTGTGACAGACGAGCAGATAGAGCAGGTCTGACAGGCAGACAGAAAGGAATGGGGGAAGTGTCACCCACACGCAGGGCAACAACGAGGCACAAGAAGAGAGGTAAACGCAAGAACGAGTGGCTCGATTTCGTGCTGCATCAATGCTGAGTTTGCAACTTTGGCCAGCTTCCGGCTTAAAGTTCAGTTCAAGCTTGCAAACATTTTTGTGTGCCATTGCCAACAGGCACAACGCGTACCAATCACCACATAATTGACAGGTATGAGAATTGAATAGGTGCAATGGGTAGCTTCAGCAGCACAAAATTTGGTTAGGCATTGAGAAAGCTTTTGTCTCAACTGCTTTTAAAAATACAAGAACTATTACAAAACGAAATGTCGTGCATGTGAAATGCATTATACTTTCATGTTTTACAAAACATTTCATTTGCTTTTATCTAACAATTTTTGGCTCTGCTCTTTTAATGGCTAAATCGCTTCCAGTCCTTGCCCAGCATTTCTTAAGCATGCAGGTAAATATTGATCTTGTTTGTTTTCTTCAATTGTTTTTTTTTTTGCCATTGTGGCATACAGATTGAGTTTCATTTAGACCTTAACTCTTGTGCGCAATCACTCGACCTATCGACCTCTCAAACCAGACAGCCTCACCGTTTGAGATACTTTTCACAAAATCCATTAACAAGCTTTTTGCATATGCCGACTGGAGAAAAGGAAAAAGGAAAAATGTTGCCCCTGCCTTCCACTTGAAATGCGAGCAGTAAAAAAAAGAGCAAAGAGTTAGAGGCACATCCCGTGTGCATAAATTGTAAAACCAAATCCATGAGCGGATCGAACTAAGCCAACTAGCTACTGGCTGGCTTGTTGGCTTGTTTGTTAGCTGGCAGGCTGTTTGGGTGACCCTTTCCCAAGGAGACAACGGAAATTGTTGAGATTTATGACGCCTGGTAAAAAGGGCAGCGCCATATTTATTTGAAAATAAGTTAGCCCATAGGCAAGTGGGCTGCTTTGGCTGGCAAACAAGTTTACAAATTTCAGGCTCGCCGAAAAGCCCCCAAAAAGGATATTACATATCCTGTTCCTAGTCGTGTAAATGCCATTATAGATTGAATATTTGCAGCGTTGTCCCAGCCATTTGATTTACGTTGTTTCAGTACTTCCGCCACGCCGTTGTCCTCTGCAGCATGCTTTGCGGGGCTTTTGTTTGTTTTTTATTTGCTGGCGTCTTTTGCGGGGTTTTCAAAACCAGAGCGCAGCAGCATTAGCCTGGGTCCTGCTCCTGGTCCTGCTACTGCTCCTGGCCCTGGCTCTAACTCTGACTCTGAGTTACGTATTGTGCCGCAGTATATGTGAGACTATTATAGGCCTTCTCTGGACCCTCTTCCCATCCGGCATTCGTTTGTGCTACGTGCAAGCTGCGCTTTTTCACACACTCCAGCAACATTATCAACATCATCATGGCCTGCGTCATTATGGAGTTGGGCACGCGATTATTGCCATTATGGAATGAAAATGAAAGCCGCTCAAACCGTAGCAGCTTCTCGGAACTCACTTGCTGAATGCCCCTCCGTGTTGCCCGCTTCTGCGTTGCGTCTCAAGTGACTATTCACAGAGTGAAGATTTATTGAATGTGCGCCGCTGTCTGTGGCTGCTGTAAGTTCTGCTCTGTCTGCTCTTTGGCATTGGGTATTGAGTGTTTATTTATTTTCAAGCATCATAAAAAATACAGCAGGCAGCAGGCACGAGGCAAGCACTAAATATATATATATATATATACACACACATTCAATAATATTTTCGCCTCATGGCAGAAGCAGCTGCAATTTTTACGCCATTTTGTGCTGTGCCAAGCCAAGTGTAATTTGTGGCCCGGGAACTTTGTCTATTGCCCTTGTACATGTTGTTGTTGTTCCTCTCGTTGTTGTTGTTTTTGTTGCTGTTATTGCTGTTGTTGTTGTTTAATGAAGCATTCGCGCTGAAGTAGCTGTTGCAATTTTTATTTCGTTTGCCGGTCAATGAACATTGGGAATGTGTTAAGTGCCAACGCTTGTCTTTAATTGTCTACAACTTTGCCGAATGGCTTTTAATGAAGTGTTAAACGTTCATTGCCACACAAACAGCCGCACTAACATCCTCCCCTACACAGTCTTACACTTCGACAATAATGCGTTGATGTTTTTCAAATAAATTACGCATACGCCGGCTTTTGTCATCTGCAGTTTCCCAGATCCTTATCTGACTTACTATACCAACTATTATTCTTGGCAAATGTAATTACCAACTACTAGCATTTAACTAGTTAAGTAATGAGCTAATGCGCTAAATTAATGTAGCGTAACTGTGAATACAATTTTAAAGTAGACTGTTGTTTAAGTTCATTTTTATTGACTAGGAGCCTTTTCTAGTCCATTTTTTTCCAAATATATTTATTTACATCTGTGCGTCAAATTGCATTAGTTTTAGCTGCTTCACCCACAACTACTAAATCGTTGCCTTTGTGCCACATGACGTATACGCAATGTGATTTCTCTGTGATGTTGCCAGTGCAGCTTGGGGGCATTTCCGCTTTTGCCACCGCCATTACTGTCGTCATTTGGTGCTCGACTAAAAAAAATATGCTTTATAAAGTCGACCAGCGTTAGTTTTTTTTCTATATACTTTATGGTTGTATAAATATAAATATGAAGCGGGAGCGCCGCGCACTTTTTGTTTTATGCATGCAGCGGCTACATTTTATATTACACATATATATATATATATATTTC